GAGTTAGCAGCTTCGGAGAGCAAAGAATGGGAGCGTCAGTATGGTATGGGAGGGGAGTTCTCAGCTACACAGGGTAGGTCACCCGAAGATGCAGCATGGAGGCAGAGTGTTAGGGCAGAGCTACTGGCAGGCAGTGGACTTCACTACCTACAGCTGCTGTGGGGTATGTTTGCCTACTATGAGCACCTGGACCACCACGTAATGTACGACCAGGCAAGCTTTACCAGCTATCCCTTGCATATATTGTTGTTCAACATTCAGATATATAGGTGGCCCCGCAGATTGATATTAGACGGGTCAATAGCAAGCCCAGCATACCCAGACCGTGGAATCGCAGCAGGAGGATCCTCGGCGACCTGCGAAGCCAAATCTTACATGATGCCCATCATGACCCAGGCACTAGACCCAAACCAGGACGGGCTCTCGGCATGCATACACATTGATGACTTGAATATATGTGCTTGGGGAGAAGGTGTCAATTGGGTAGTGGAGTCTCTGGCGGATCTGGCACTCAAGATGACCAAGGGCCTCCACGCCCTCAACCGAAGCCTGTCCGTCCCAAAGTTGAACATGGTAGCCAGTTCAGACAGGCTTCTGGAAGCAGCTAAGTCAGTCTTGAAGGAGCTGGGAGGTCGAATGTCCCAGCAGCAGTTAACCTTGGGATAGATTTTACCGCAGGAGAGCATGCGCGTGCACCAGGAGCCAGGGCCCAAAGACGTAAACGATGGATCAAATTGAGGGCCAGGGTCAAGCAAATCCAGTCCCTTCGCCTAAAGGGCAAAAAGAAGCTCCGTAAAGGACGGTTTTTCACAGTTGGAGGCCGTTCCACCATCTCATACGGGGCGGGGGTCCAAGGTTTTACCCCCCATGAGGTGAGTTCCATTCGCAAGCTAGGAGCGATAGCCTCAGGACGTTACACCAAGTCGGCCAACAACGCGCTCTGGTGGATCACTGTCCCATATAAAGATCCAATAAAGCTTATGTCTCAGGTCATGGAAAGATACTGTATAGAATTGTGGAATGCTTCATCCACCAGACCTGAGCTGCGCACGCACCGTGACCTTTTAAGCATCAAAGAACTTAGAGCAGCTCGCCGAGCGGCCGAGCAGGCCCTGGCCACATCCACTAAACGTAGCTGGTTAGCCAAAGCACGAGACCCAATTTCCCAGTTACTCATGTGGGTCGCAGAAGTCGGTTGAAGGATGCCAAACGCAACAACATTCTGCGACACCAATGGCCGTAGATGGGACATTTTAAAAATCCCACCTAGGCGTGTAACAAGCCACATGGCAAGCCAGTACAAGCAGACGCTGGCCCAAGACTATGTTAGGTCTAAGTGTAATCCAGAGGCCCCTGTGGCCTCGGAAGGCCCATGGGCCGAACAGTTTTTATAGACCCTCAGCAGCAGCCGGATGACCCGCTCAGAGGCAGCAGCGGCCAGGCATGTCTTCTGCGGCGCGCTCCCCACAGGAGACAAGCTAAAAGCGTGGGGCTTTAAGGAGGTAGGACCATGCACCTACTGTGGTGCTGTTGACACTACCTTTCACCGCATATGGGAGTGCCCACATGGAGCCCCAATGCGAGAGGAGTATTTATCAGATTATGTAGAAGCAGCTCTAACAGCAGGCCCACATGACTTAATGTTTTCGCGCTTATGGGCTGTGAGGCCAAACTCGCAGGTGTGCCCGCCGTGTGGAGATTGGAATCTCCAATATTTTGTAGGAGCAGCAGATGGTGGGTCAGTATTGTGTAGCCGCGAACAGTTTGGCCTCTTTGAAGCTTCAAGGCCAATCTATACAGACGGCTCTTGCATTCATCCCACCCATCCTTTCCTCTCTTGAGCAGGCTGTGCGGCAGTCCAGCTTGACGATTCGGGTGGGCTCCTAAAGGCCCTCAGGAGCCCGCTGCCAGATATGCTCCCACAAACCTCAGGCCATGCGGAACATGCAGCGCTGCACCTGGCGGTGCAGCATTCGACCTAGCCCCGAAGTGCCCCTTTTGTTATAGACTATGCAGCGCTGCTCAAAGGGCAGCGCTCACCGCATGCAGTTCTGACAGGCACTAATGATTTTGCAGACCACTGGAGAGGCATAGGAGAAGCAATCCCAGTTGGCCAGCGGCCAGTCATGGAAAAGACCAAGGCCCACCGCGCACTCGAGGGGGCAGAGAGCAATGCAGAACTCCAGCATTTTCTAGGCAACAAGGCCGTGGATTGGCATGCAAGCCAAGCGGCATCTTTACATGCCCCCAGCCCCGAGGAGGCACGCACAGTTTCAGCAGCCGCGGAAGGCTACCGAGACCTAATCATTGGCGCGACCAAGGTCCTCGGCCAGTGGCCCGAAGCTCGTGAGCTCTGGGATAAACTCTTTAAAGCAGCCCCTGAAAGGAAGGAGCGCCCATTTATACAGTGCCATACCCCTGTATGGCACGACAAATGCTTTGGATGCAGTACCTGTTTCAGAAAGATCAGCCCGTGCACGAAGTTCGCGTGTCAAGGGTTAAATGCAGCAATTCAAAAGTTGCTAGATGGCCAGCAGGGTCTAGGCCATGTGCTGCATGCAGCCACAATTGACGGCTCGCAGGTACCCATCATATTCTGTGACAAATGTGGTCGATTCTTAACTTGTAAGTCGACCAAGCTAGATCAGGAAGGCTGCCCCAGACCCAGAAAGCCATCCTCTGAGCTGCGCAAGCTCCTTAAAGGCCAGGTCCCTGGGTCGTCGGGGACTTTTTCCCACGCTTTCCCCATAGCCCAGCTGGCGCGTTCTATACAGCAGCAGGACAGGTAGCTGTCAGACCCTTCAAGTCTGGGGGTTGGGAGGGACGTCATAAGCAGCAGCAGCAGCAGGGGAGGGTTGCAATGTATAAGCTCTAAGAGTTTCAGGCTTGTGCGTGCCCAGTTCTCAGTTTTCTCGTCGGCAATGGATTATGTACCATGTGAACACCACCGCGAATGCGGTGGATGGTTGCGCCGGGACAGGCTCGAGCACGAACCATGGGTCCATTGTCGTCGCCTCCGTGATGGCATGCGCTGCGGGGGCAAGTTCGTCCTCAGGACTTATACCCCACACCGCCCAGTGCATCCGCCTCCGCATGCAGTGAGCGGGCCCGCCAGCTTTGTCGCTAAACCCAAGCTGGCCCCCTCCTCCAAAAAGCGGCCTGCTCCCAAAGAGGAGGAGGACAGGGCCAGGTGGCCCAAGCCAAGTACGGCTTTTGAAGATGTGGCGGCCCTTCACCAGCGTGCTTTACGAGCAGAGGGGGAGGCAACTCAGCTCCGCCAGCAGCTAGCCACGGTCAGGGCGGAGCGGGATGCACTCGCCAATGGGCTGGACCGTGCGCTTGCAGCCAGCACCCAACTCCCCGACGAGGGACAGAGGGAAGAGGCTGGCAGTGATGAAGATTTCTAGGCCACCCCTTTGTAAGCCCAGCGGTCCAGTCGTGGTTATGAGGTATTAGCAGTTTCTTGTCAGTGAAGGCTGGGCTTACATAGAGGACATCTAACTTCACAGGCCTCTGGTGGAGGAGGAGTGGAGGGTTTCGAGTATTAGCGTGCGTGGGTGTGCGCGTGCGCTGGGCCTATGGCTCCCCTGCGCGGTGCGCACTGGAGGAGGAGGCCCCGTTCACCCCTTCCCCCCCGCCCTTCTGGCGTTCACCGCCACGCATTCCCTCCGCGGCCCCCCGCTCCTCAGGCTTCTAAATGGTCTGCGCCCCACCGTTTGAATGAGTGCAGACTCGGCAGATGTCAAGTCATTGGCAAGGATGAGGGCTTCATGAAAGCCCACAGAGAGCTTTCTGCAGGTCGGTGCCTTGTGGCTGGCCCAGCCCACCAGGCCCAAGAGGCTTTCAGAGCAGGTACCGCCTCATAGAAGATGAGGACCCGCCTCCAGAGGGTACAGGCCCTCTCGTGCCGAGGCGGAGTAAACCCTGTACAGGCTCAACGCCTACTAGTGGCCATTGACACCCGCCTGATGTTGAACAGGCCGTGGACATCGAGGCTGCCCCCGCAGTGGCACCCTCTAGGCACAGGCCACCTGCTCCCCTCCCTTCCCTCTTCCAATTCAACCCCGCTTCCCTCCCCCCTTCTGCCCACATTTTGGTTCCTCGCGGCTGGTAGTGATAATTTCTCAGGCCCGTGCTGGACTAGTGGACGGCGGTGGGGTAGTGGATTTGTGGGAGAGAGCAGCTGTGGGCGGGGGGGAGAGCGAGCGTCGCCCGTCCCGCTTCATCGTGCCACTGAAGTTCGGCACGTTTGTGGCGGTGGACGCGCAGGCGCGGGCGCGTCCGTGGCGCCAGGAGCGGGAGGACGAGTCTCCTCGTTCCTTTTTTCTTTGGTGTAGGGTGAGCTAGCTCGACCTGCACCTTTTGCCAGAAACCCAGGAGGAGGAGGAGGAAGAGGAAGAGGAGGATAATCCAAACGTCATCTGTCGTCGTGATGTTGTTAATGCCGAAGATGTCCATTGCTTCCGGCCCCCTCGGGACGTTTCGGCCCAGGCTGGTACACATTTGATATTGGCGACAGGTGCATGTATATGACCCTTGGAACTCGGACCCAGTTTAGCACTTACTGGTAAATTCGAGGCATATGATGGCAAACCATGGATGCCTGCGAGTGCTGCCTTTGAGCCTCAGGAGGTATAGAATACCGCTGGAGGCCTCCGAGGACACCTGGAGTAAGATGAGAGGAGTGGAGGAGGAGGAGGAGGAGGAGGAGGAGGAGGAGGAGGAGGAGGAGGAGGAGGAGGAGGAGAGTAGGGAAGACGGGACGGAGGAGGGAGAGGGGAACGTTGAGCCGGAAGAATGGAGCAGGGAGCAAGGAGGAAGCAGGGATCGGGGAGGAAGAGGAAGGCGGGAAGGAGGAACGGGAGGTGGGGCGAAGAGGAGGAGGAGGAGGAGGAGGAGGTCTCGGGGTGGATCTGGTTGGGGGTGCAGAAGTGGCCTCCTGGAGACCCGCCGGTTAGTGGCGGATGTTTTCGCTGTCCTTCGCTTTGTGGCCCCCGCAGGCATCAAGAAGCTCTGGGGGTGGTCGAACGGCCACTCCAGCACGAACGGCGCCGGGAGCTACAGCCCCAGCAGGGCCGCGCATGCGTGCGCGTCCGCCGACCTCGTCGCGTTCAAGACCATCCCGCGGGGCCCAGACCCGTGCAGAAGCAGCAGCCCAGGGGCGTCGAAGAGGGAGGTGAGGACCAGGGGGGCTGGACCTCTGGAGATCTGTGGCCCAGGGCAGCGCTGCGGGATCAGGTGATGATGGGCCTGTTGAC